GAACAAATAAATCAATCAATATATGAGAGGAAAGTAGTATAATATTTTCTATTAAAAAAATAAATGATTTACTTTATTCAATGGCGGACACTCGCCATTGGGGGGCACTCCAGGCAAGGCCACTAGTCTAGGGCCAGGATAAAGCCAGCCTAACACGGCGGGTCCTGATCAGCAACCTTACCTTCTCCTTATCGCATTCGAGTTCCCTCTGCTTAAATGATTATTACGAGGTACCTGGCCATGCAAAATAATCAAGCCAAAAAAAAAAAGTAGATTAATAAGGAGGGAGAGAAAAAAAATAAAAATGAGAATTCACTTAACAATGGGGGCATTTATTATTCCTAAACAGAGTAAAATTAAACCATAAACCAGATCTGGGCTAACTTAAAAGAATTTAAACTTAATCATCTAAATTAACAATAGTAAATAGTTAAAATTAAAACAAACAAAAATTCCATCTTTATGCAGTCTTGTCCGTAAACCAACATCTTTACTTGGGAATCGTTGATCCAGCCACAACCATCCGGAGAGTCCTCCTGGGTTCCAGTCCTGCCGAAATCATCTCCAAAAAAAAGAGAAAATCTCCGGAGAATCGGGGCCGCCTCTATATCCTTTCAGAAAACCACGAACGGACTGTCCTCGCTCGTCGCCGTGGTCTGGTGAGGAAGGCGCCCGGTGGAAATTCCAAAGATGGAAATATCCACGAAGAAAAATCCGGACGAGCCGTTTTCCGGAGAATCTCTATCAGTTGCCCATTCGTAGGTGTTTTCCGCACTGTTCTCCTCCGCGACCTCTGACTCGGTCCAAGCGATTGCGTTATCGCTTAATCCCCGGCACTAAATACACACTCTTAATAATAACTCTAATTGATGATTTTCAACAATTTCCTACGTACACTGGTTTTTAATTAATAAAAATTTATACATCTTATAACTAGGTTACATACCTTCTTACAAGAAAAGTATCGAGGCGAGAAAATAAAAATTTGATTTTGGGGCAAAAAAAAACACTTTCCTCCCTGACAATCATGACATTATAAAAACCAATTTTTTTTTGTCACAGTCTGACATAAAATTGGAAGACCATAATGATCATTAACATGAATAGTTTAATAAGTGTAAAATTGCCTAATCGAAAGATTCAAATTTTACGATTAGGCTTTTGACTGATCGTAAAAATAAACTGTTAGATCTAAAATTCAAAGTTTTTCAAAAGTCGATCTAACATAAAAAATTTAAACATGTTTATTTTAAAACAGTCCACTGCAGAAAAGGTATATTTCTTGAATAGCAGAAAATATACTATAAAACTTGTCCGTAAAAGGTTTTTTTAATAAAAATATGTATAACGTATATTATAAAAGAAAACAGTAAAACTTTAAAGAGCGAACAGAACATATATTCGTCACACCGAAATTATCTCTTCTCCACCTAAGAAATAAATAATGATTCAAAACAAGAAAAGGCTCAAGTTGCAATCTTGAATTACATCAAGCAGCTGCGTACAATTATTTATATACTGAACTGTCAAAACAAACACTAAATAAATAGCTCTCTTTGTAACCTGGGCATGAAGAAGGAAATATTTCATTTTTTAGCCACTTGTCCTATACTACCAGAATTTACACAAAAGTGGTTCAGAATGTCTACTTTAGAAGCTGCTAAAGTATGTTACTTATAAAACGGAAAAAATTGGCAAAATTATATTTTTTAAGCGTAATTTAAATATGAAATAATTACCTATAAATCCTCTAATAATTCTTTCCAATTTATAAATTATTTATAGACATACAAAACCAACAAACATGAAAATGTGCAAATATTATTATTGTATTTTTTCTGTTGTTTTGTAAAAATTGGACCAAGAAATAATACTTGATTTTTCCGATATTAACTGTGTCATTTTCCATGTGTTCATTTTCCATCAATCACTCAATAGAGCTGCTGTATTGGTTCACTTTTTATCCTTGCTGGTCTTTTTGTTATAATTATAGGGTTTGTATGGTTGCTCATGGGGTAGTGCGGACTGCCATATTTTTTTTTTACCACATCAGACACCAACTTTCCGTTGGAGATCATGATAGTTATGGCATGGTCTCTTGAAAAGTCCGAGGGGCCTGGTCCTCTTATTTGAATTTTTGTAATGCCTTAGACGCCACAGAACCCTATTTTGGTTCTGTCTGCCCTAAATAGTTGTGTAGTTTTTTAATGAGACAGCATGAGGAGCATGAGTTCAGGAGGTATTTAAGAATCTAATTTGCCTTGTTTTATACACAGGGTTTCACAGGAGTTTGTAATACAAGTAGAATTTTTAACATCGTTATTCTATATTATAAATGTTGGCATAAATATAAACTTTAATTTTTATTATGTAATATATTTTTTAAATTATCACTAAACATAAACTTATTATTTAAAGACAAATGTTAAATAAACGTATACTTATACAATAAAACTTCCCAATTTTGTCAGTTATTATGTTAGGTATATGATGATGATGATGATGATAATAATAAGGTAGCCGGAATATTGGTAATCTCCAAGCGTCCTTCTGGCGTTTTTATACTTTTCCTATGTTCTTATTAATAATTAATTACCACATATGATTTAGTATGATTTATTATTAATGTTGAATAAATACAGTCAAAGCACACTGACTCTATAGAACTAAAATTAATTCGTTAATTAATACCGTTCAAATCATGAATATTGAACATTTTCCTTTATTTTAATTAGTGTAGCCTTTATAGCCTAAAAATGTAAAACGATTGTTTTTAGGTTTAATTAAAAGTTTGTACGTTTTATGAAAGAAAATTGGTCAGCCTGAGGCATCATGTAGGCCAAATATGGCAAATTAAATTTGAACAAATTAGATTGCGCGCTGTGGTAGATGCGAGGAGAAGTTTATCGCTGTGATAAATTTAAGCGAAAACAAATAGAAGAGATTGTAAATTGTTTGAAAAGGGTGGTTTTTTATCTCTTCAGTAGTGGGATTTTGCCAACAGGAAACACCCTTGTCACACACCTTCCGGAGATAAGGGGGCTTCTGTTCCCTTTTATTTCTATACCCATTTTTTATTAAGGTCTGCAAACAATTAGATTCGCGTTCCACGCGGTGCCCTGTTTATCTTTGGCAAATATGGGAAAACTATTAGGCGAGAAATGACGGATGAGTCGATTAAGATGAAACGATCCAGTCATAATGGCAAAATACTACAAGATTTGCATGAAAACCAGCCCATCTGTCATCATAAATCGCCAATCATTTGTACGAAGCATTGCTTTCATTTTTCTTCCTTTTTTTTCTTTTCTATCATCATTCAATGATTTTTGATACAGTTTATTCTTCTCGTTAGAAGTACAATACATGAAATATCTACATTAACCATCAGCTTTCTATTTAAAAAAAAAAGATGAAAAAGTCAGAAAAATTTAAAAATTGACCAATTATTTCAACACAGTTTGATCATGTCTGATCATTCTGGGTAATAAATAATTTGCTGAACTATTTTTTATCTTTCCTTTACTGCTTAAAATGCCACCAAAGTAATTGTGATATCTTGTGATAACTCTCCCCCCTCACTCTGTCTCACTCTCTTTTTCACTCTTTCTACATCTATCTAGGTAACTATGAACGTAATATCTTTATCTCTCTCTTTCTTTTTTCTTTCTTTTGATCTCTTTCTATACCTTTTAGGTAACTGTCTACTGAATATCTTTCTCTCTTTCTCTTTTTCTCTCTCTCTCACTCTCTCTCTCTCTCTCTCTCTCTCTCTCTCTCTTTCATCTCATTTCACTATATTTTTATCTTCACTCTCTCTCTCCTTCTCTCTCTCTCTTTCTCTCTTTCTTCATTTTCACTCTCTCTCTTTCTCTTTCACTCTCACTCTCTCTCCCACTCTTTCGTCTCATTTCACTATCTTTTTATCTTCAGTCTCTCTCTCTCCTTCTCTCTCGGTCTCTCTTTCTTCACTCTCCCTCTCACTCTCTCTCTCTCTCTTTCTTCACTCTCAGTCTCTTTCTTTCTCATACACTCTCACTCTCTCTACCTCTCCCTCTCTATCATCTCATTTCCCTATCTCTTTATCTTCACTCTCTTTTTCCTTCTGTCCCTTTCTCTCTTTCTTCACTCCCTCTCTCTCTCTCTCTCACTCTCTCTTTCTCTCTTTCTTCACACTCAATCTTTCTCCCCTCGGAAGATGGCTTCGAGTTTATTCAATGTCTTCATCAAAATGTTAATATTGATAGTGTTGTATTAATTAGTAATGTGAGAACGAACACAGATATAATTAAGCTTGTCATTTCTCTTCTACATCCGTTGTTTGATGACATGAATTATTGGATTATGGAACAGATGAGAAAATCTACATACGATTGCATTTCCAACTGAAACCAACATGATCGCTCTAACATTGTCTTACCGAATAATTTTGATATGTCATTTATATTTTTACATATACCTTTGCTAGATAATACCCGTTGATAATTTTTCCTTTGTTATTCTTAAAAAACCTTTTCCTTCTTCTTGGTCACGGCAACATATAATGACTACAGATCCGCTGAGATTTGAACCAAATACAATAAAACAGCTGAAAAAATAGGAACTCGCCCAATTTATAAAAAAGGCAATTTTATAAAGATCGGACGATTAAGGTCCGTATTAAGTACAAGTTAGACACTAAATTGTACTACATAGAGTTGAAACTCTTAGGAAATTCAAAAGGCTTGAGAGGCATACGGGAAATTTCCATCATCATTTTAAAAATATACAAACGGAATAAGGCGAGAAAAATCTTATCTACCTAATTATTTTCCACAGTCAAATTTTGTGTTTTTTAAGAAAGTATGTAAATTAATGTTATTCTTGAAAAAAATTTGGTCGGTTTTAAGATTAAAGTAAGTCCAAGAATAGCAAGACTGTTTTGCCAATATTGACTTGGGGTTCCCGTAGTATGAAATCAGTCTTCTTGCATGATATTTATCTTGTAAATTTGTTTACAGGCGAGTCCTGGGGGACGAAGGTGTTCTGCTGCTCCGAAAACGCCTGCAACCAGGGTCACAGAGAGAGATCGGCGGCCATTGTCCTAACTGCTCCCTTGATCCTACTTGTCCGGCAAGTCTTCAAACTTACCTACTAACAAGGTTCGCCCTAAGGGTGACCTGTACACACGCTTTAACCTCTGACTCAAAATGTAGAATTTTTCCATAACAAAACAAAAATTAAACAATAACAAAATCATTTTTAAAGTCTCAACAGACATATATTAACACTTTTTTAAACTTATTTCAGCAACTGAGCTGAACATGTTTGTACTTTAACCTAATAATTAACAATTATAAAATAAACTTTTATCTTTCCACACATTGTATATTTTTTAAAAACCACCAATTTCCTTTGATATAAGTAAATAATAAAATTGTAAAATAATACAAAAATTCATGTTCATGTAAAGAACAAAAAATAAGATAAGATGTATCTCAAGGTAAATGCAATGAAATGCCACTTTTGTAAAGCCAATTAAATTACATAGTGACGGCCTTTATTTTACATTAATCATTTTCATCTGACATTAAATTTTTGTTATATTTACATTAAATTATATAAATTAATACGATAAATTATGACTACTTAATTCATACACGGATAAATCAAATTATATATTTTATTAACTTCACTATTAAATTTTTTATTTCCCTTAAACATCTAAAACATAATATTATTTAATGTCGAAAAAACCAGAACAAGTATTAAAGAACGTTGAAATTATAATTGCAGAAAGTAATATAAGTATGTTAAAAGTCAGCTGTAAAATGTGGCTAAATGGGAAATTTTAATTAAAATCTTTCAATTTCCTAACGCCGAGATCATAAATCAAAAAGTTACGTCCAACAAACTTTTATTAAAACCAAACGGACAAGATTGTAAGATTTTCTAGAAGTCGAATATTGGACGAATTCCAAAGTCTATTGTTATATATATTGTAATAAATTCAATCAAGTATGACATGAATTGATTTTTTTTTTATTTCAAATAAATGCCAGTGAAACATCCGTTTAAAATTTATTAAATTTTGCTGTCAATCATTTGAGTTGATATTTTGTTTCAATTCGAAACCATTCACATACTTTGAGTCTCTCAGCAAATAGCTTTAACTAGTTAAAAAATTCTAGATTGTAAGAGTTAGATATAAGTAAAATTATAATAATAAGTTAGGTTCAACACATCATTCAAATATAAATATATCGAAGGCAATTTAAAAAAAGAAATCAAAATATCGATAGAAATTTAATAATAATATAATGTATTTAACCGTCTAAAGTTAACTTGCGGCCATATTTTATCGGCAACTTTCCATGCGTGCTTTGACTAAAAAAGGCCTCTCCGTTGTCAGATAGTAAAAACGCGTTTTACTTACGCCTAAATTTATGCCCGGCATATATATACTGTGAAACGTGAAAGAACTCCGTCTGGGATCGTGCTGATCAATTATGAAGAAGAGATTTTCCGAATTGGAGGAAAAAGAAGGGAAAATCTAGCCACCCTATTAGCTTTTCATCTCCGCAATCCCTCCTTATAAATTATAACTGAGCCTAGTTCTTGAAAAACGCCTTCGGTCTCCTTTTGCCTCAATAAAACCCCGGTGTATTTCTTTTAATAATTGTTGCAATACAATTCCTTTTTGAAGAGGTAATTTTTTTATCTCGGCAAACCAACATCTTGGGGTTTTTTTATCTGATCCTTTACCAATTAGCGTTCAAACAAATGAGCGTTTTCTTTTCCCTCGTTTACAAATCGTTAAAATATCCCTTCGATTATCTTTAAAGAGCCTTAAATCTACTCAATTATACGTACACAAATATTATTATTATGTAATACAGGCACTTTGTCCTATGTTTTCTATAGTTAATATAATAATTGTTTGCAGACTCAAAACTTATTGTCACAAAACAAACCTCAAGACAATTTAGCTAAGCGATCATTACGAGGGTACACCAGCTCGCGGCTTCGTCAACTACAGACTTACACTAAAGACAACCTTACAATACAAGCTAAAACTTGTAAACTAGCTGTCTAGTCATGTAATGTTCAAAATAAACGTGCAAAAATGCAAATAAATATGCATAGAAATATATCTGTGAAAAAACAATTCACCAACCATAAATGTAAGAAACTAGATCATTTTGACTATTTCTAAAGGTGCTAATAGTGAAAAAACCAGAAGTTTTAAACCAGCATCTATTCGGCTTAATAAGAAACTCATCTTATTAAATTGAAGTAAGCGAAAGCAAAACTTTTGCTGATATGACCCTGCTTTCTCAAGGATGGTGAAAGCAATCAAATCCAAAACCTCAAACCACGTGGTGGAATTTTAACGAGAATGACGATTAACTTTTAAAGCTATCTAATAAAACGGCTCTTTTCTCTATCCTCTCGGGGCTCTTGAGTCAGTGGCAATAACGGTCTTGATAAGAAACCCTTTCCGGAAATAAGGTATTCCGAGGGTCGTCACACAAAGGGGTTTGTCAAGGCGAAGGGGATAATTACAGGGGGGTTGACGTGACCGAGGTCGAAAGATACCCACCCTCGGGAGAATCGCAATTGCTTCTAGATGTACTGGGCGAAAAAGTGGCAAATTTTGTTTTGTTTTTTGCCCCGAGTAAAAAAGAGACTATAAGAAAGAGAGAGAGATAGAATTATACAATTAACAAAACCCCACTAGGAAAAGGGACGATTGCCTATTAATGGGGAGACGAGCGGCGATTAAGAAATAGGAAAGGGGCAAATTGAATAATCCCCAAGGGCTCAGAAATTTCCCCGCCCTTCTAAAAAGGGTTTAAACTACGGTAATTTACAGTCTTATCAGCATTGATATCATGATCCATCTATTTATTTTACTGGCATAAATTACGCTCGTGCATATTTAATTTTTTTATAAGTGAACATATAAGTATAAGAAACACACGTTTAGCGGGCATAATTGATCATATTAATTTCAATTAATTAATCTTTTTATCTAAGATCTTGTTTGAGATGAAAAATTTAATGTCTCAACCTAGACTTAGAGAAGAATAATTAAATAAAATAATAAATACTTTAGAAATAAAAAATATCCCAATATATCTTGATTTTTTTAAATAAACCAATAGTTAAGAATAAGTTAAATCTTACTTATTGATCGATCTGCCATAACAACACAAACTGCTAAATAAAAAAGGACTAATTTGTTGAAATCCAAAAGTTAGACATAAATTGTTCATAATGAAATATTTTCTACATTAAAAGAATAAATAAACTGAAAAATTCAATGATTAATATTCAATGATATAATCTACATAAAAGTTGAGTTCTTGCGTATTTGGATGTAAAACGAAGAAAATAATCAGTAATATTTTTAACCTCTTTGCACATTACTCGAAATTTGAAAAAAATATTTAAAAAACCTCTACGCCGAATAGTCGATATACGATTTCACAATTTTGAGGTATAAGTTTAGCTCTCCTAAACTAAAGCGTTTGAGATAATTTTGGCGTTTTTATTTTCTGTAACAACTAAAACAATTTTTATAAACGTGGCATACCATTTTGGTTGTGATGTTAAAACAATGTTTTTCTCTGTTTCTAAAAATTGTTTGTAGTCCACCATTTGTAAACCGTTATTTTCAATCTTTTTTTATAAATATAACGGTAAGGGGGCGTCGGTGTTGCAGCGGTTAAAGCTTTGAAGCTCACTACAGTAAAGTAAAGATCCTAGGTTCGAATCAAGTGGTCCTGCATGCAAACCCGTCATAGTTTCAAATGGGCTTTTTTTCAAAAAACACCGTACCCCGAGGGTTCATATTAACTCTTAGTTGAAATACGCTCGTAAAGAAATAATAATGAAAATAATATAACAATATTGAAAAATAAATAATTCGTGAAAACGACACCTGGAAAAATGAATAAGTTAATTACTAATTATGATTTGTTCGATATACTACGATTACTACGATATATGACAATTACTACGATATTAATTACAATTCATAATTACTAATTATGAATAGTTAATTACTAAGGCTGCTTCTTTTCATAACATATAACACAAACTCAAATACTAAACCATGATTATTTATTGTGTTTGCAAAAAAGTTGAATAAATAAGATTACAATCTAACCGTGAATTAAGTTAAATATTTACCATCCGATTTATTGAATATCAACTCATTCGTAACTCATTTATCCGTGATCTGTGATCAGTTTTCGCTTAACTTCCTACAAGGATTATTGGATTCAGAACAAGTTAGCGGGGATAACTGGGATATTGTCTCGGTCGGTTTCCCCTTCCCTACAGTTAAACACTTGTTCGTACACAACAAGTACACAAAGATTAAAAAAAACATGGTCTTTCATTAGGCCCAAAAGCTATTTTGTGATAGTTTTAATTCTAGATGTAAGGTTTTCATTATAAGGCGTGAGAGTGGATGAGAAATTCAGAAAAATAAATAAAAATAATTCATGGACATATTTGCGAATGTTGTTAACTTGTAATTTAGTGTTTAAAGAAATTGTTTAAAAACGGGTATAGAAATGTTAAGTATTAAACCTATTGTATTTAGATCAATAGCAAATACAACGAGATAATTAAATATTTTATTCAGATAAAGTATAAATTTTACAATAATAAATTTTAAATTATTAAACTTTCATTTATGAATTTTGTTGAATTAGGACTAATTTTGGTACCCAAATCTTGTAGAAAAAGTAGTATGGTGTGGCCTACTGATAAAACAATAGATGTTACATTGAAACATATAGTTATGCATCCTGTCGTCTCATCTTCTGCATTTTGTTGTTTAGAATAATGCAATAATTTCAAATTGGCTTAGTTATGATTTAGCAACTCATGTGATTGACATTTGAATGCAGTAATTAAAAAACTAGTAAAGTGGTTTCAATCAAATATTATCTTGAGATACAAACAAAAATGGTTCTAAAAACACCTATACAATTTATATATTCACTTATATCTTCCTGTTTTTAGCATTGTAAACATTGTGACTGTATAATACAATAGTAGTGTTTATTTTTAAAAAACCGTAATCCTACTTTTCCCGATCCAATCGATGCTTTTTGAGTCAGAGGTCTTAATCAACGGTTATTGTGAGAGTTGCTTTTTTTATTAAATAAAATAAAATTTATATTATTATAACATATTGAGTAAGATTTAGGAAAGGAATACCTCTCTCTAAATAAATGTTCTAATAGCTCTAATAATGATTAATCCTCTCAACAATTGAGAATCGAAAAGTAGGGGTATTGCATTCCTCAAATTTTTTGCACGCTATAGATTAACGTTGATTTTCAGGGTACGTTAATTTTTTAGACTCTTTGGTGTTTATTGAGCAGAAAACCTGCTAT